ACACCAATGCACCAGACCAACTTGGTCTGGCACATCGTCATCATGGCTCTCGATGTCCGACAATCTCTGATGACATCTCTTTTTTTTTTCTTTTTTCTTTTTTTTTTGAAAACAACCTGAGGAAGTAGTAGTGGTGCTGGCATCTCACAAATGCAGAAGCTCTCTATGTTCACTGGCAGATTTATCGACCAGGCCGGTTGTCCACCAACCGCACAACCAGGTGTCGACAAAAGAAAGCGTTTCAGGACAGATATCGCCCTTCTTTTCCACGACCGGACAACTCTCAACTCTCATTGGCCAGGACGGGTGGGTCTGTGGTCGGGTTGCAAGTGGGTGGGTGAGTGTGTGTGAGTGCACACGGCCACCAGGTGTGCACAGCCTCGGGGAAACAAAAAAAATAACTCCCAAAAGGAAAAAAAATTGCTACAACCTGGGCTTACCAGCCGGGGCGCCCGGGTTGCCTCAGATTGGCCGGGGTGGCCGGCTGGGTCAGGTCCGGGCAAAGTCCCAGTAAAGGTCCCGTGCAGCCCCAGCACGAGAAAAAAATCAAACGAAAACAGGAAAATCTGAAAATCTTGAAAAAAAACTTCCATGCAGAGTTGCAAATCAAACAGCTTTGGGCTGAGGGTCAACCCGAAATTCGATATGAAATCTGAAAAAAAAAAAAAAACTAAATTATATCATACACCTATAAGCATGGGGTAACCGTGGACGCGGACATCGAACAATCCCGGACTGTCTTCCGGACCAGTGTCTGGACCGGTCCGGACTGTCCGGCGATCCGAACATCACCGGACACCCGGACAGTCCGGACCGGTGTCAGGGGTGCAAAACGTCGGGGGGGGAAAAAAAAAACAAAAAAAAAAACGGGAGAGGGGAGGGGGCTGTTGGCAGGCACTTACCTGCTCTGCACTTTGTAGTTCAGGCAGCAGAGCACCTGTCGTGCAGCAAATCAACCAGCATATTCAACTAGCAGACGTGCAGTGTTGCAAACAGTGCAAAGCAGGCACAAGACTAAAGAAACAGAGAAAAAGAAAAAGAAAAAAACTAATTATGATTAACTTCGAAGTTTGAACTTTGAGTCAAGTAATTCAAGTCCATAACCTTTTTTTTTTTTTTTTTTTTTTTTT